CCGGGACCCCTGAGACTAACCGGGCCCCTGAGACTATCCGGGCCCCCTGAGACTATCCGGGCCCCCTGAGACTATCCGGTTCCCCTGAGACTATCCGGGCCCCCGAGACTAACTGGGCCCCTGAGACTAACTGGGCCCCCTGAGACTAACCGGGCCCCTGAGACTAACTGGGCCCCCTGAGAATATCCGGGCCCCTGAGACTAACCGGGCCCTTGACACTATCCGGGCCCCCTGACACTATCCGGGCCCCCTAAAGGAGACTGTAGGCACTGGAACCCTGCTGGTTACACTCAGTCCTATCTTGTTCTTCACGGTTCTGCCTGATTCTGGCTAAAGCCCAGTAAAAGCTCTGGTTTTTCCAGCTGGGTTTACTGGTTTACCCCGGCTGGTTGTAACTGAGAGGCAGCTGGTTAAACTGGACTTCCCAGCAGGAACTGCTCCAAAGATCAGAACCGCAACCAAAGGGAAACAGAATCCAAACGGATTGAAGAGAAGGAAACGATGACGGAGAGGCTGAGCTGAAAGGACCGGAACCTTCTGGATGGAGGTCCAGCAGTAGAACCACAGCAGAACTGGGACCAACCTTTCCGTTGTAGAGGATGACGGGGCAGACGAACCGCCCTCTGCAGCGCGCCATCTTGCTCCGGTTCACCAGGTCCTGCAGCTTGGAGATCCGCACCGTGCTCTCAAACCTAAACACACACAGAACCATCAACATCGCTGACTCAGCGTCAGGAGAGCATCATGACTCAGCATCTTAGAACATTGCAGCTCAGTGGCGCAGTGGGTAGCACTGCTGCCTTGCAGCTAGAAGGTTCTGGGTTAAATACTTTCTGCAGGGAGTTAGCATGTTCTCCCAGAGCATGCGTGGGTTCTCTCCGGGTGCTGCCGCACGCAGCAGGAGCAGCAAAAACTAACGCAGCGCTTCATTATTTATGCTTGTTCCACTTTAGATCTGACGCGGTGGTGAAGTGGTGGTAAAGTGGGTCTGATGCGTGGTGGGCGGAGCTACCCGATCCTTTCTCTGCCTGGAACAATGGCGGCTATAT